GCAACAATGGCGGTTAGCTCCAGGACTACAGGCCCCCACTTGTCGCGTCCCTGCCCTTTATACTTGGGGAATGAATCTACCCCAAGTTATTAACAAATAAAGGTACAAACAGGAACACGGCAATAATTATCTCCACAAATACCTACTCAACTAAATGTACTTGAAAAAGTAGAACAGTTGAAATGAAGTGAATTACAAAATGGAAGATAATTAATTAATTCAATTTTATGTTTTAAAAGAATGATTGTAAACATGAATTTAAGTGAATAAGTAATTGTATAATAAAATAAAGTGATGCCGGAAGGGCAAGCTATACTGTAAGAGTTAGACCAAACAAATATTACTTAACATTACTATATTACACAAGACATACGAAATATATATATACAACAATCAATACAAAATGATTGTACATCCCTACCGACAGGAATGCCTGCAGGATCCCTTCCTAGGCCTAACTAAACGTGTCACTAATACCTGAGTACCCCAAGGGCATTGCAGAAGACTTGATAAAGCACTTAGACAAAGGTCAAGGCTGAAGAACGAACCGTCTAATCTAAGCCACGGATTTTTTTCCGCTACTGGGGGCGTGGCATTAGTGCGTAAATGGAGGAGCGTCTCATATCACGTGATCTAGACATTTGCTGGATAAGTACAATTAACAAATTAATAGTAGCTTGTGTGAAATGGAAGCGTGAACAGATGCCTCAAGCTATGCGAGATCCCGAGCGCCCAGGCTCGTGACACAGTGGAATAGTAGACAGGGATCAACCGTGCTCCAGGTATCCCCGATTTTGTGTAATGTTCCAAATTGATCCAAACATCCCCTAGAAAATTACACGAGGGGTCTAAGTATTAATCCAGCAGCCCACGTACAGTAGATATTTATTTTTTCGCTTTGTATATGTAATGGTCAAGTGGTCTTCATTATAACGCCGATCCATTACATGTAATTTCATATTTTCCTAGTTTTAATAGAAAGTATTTACATCTGTACATTTTAGCTCATGTTTAAGACAAATACTTATAAATTTGATTTACCTGCACTTCCACTCTGGGCAACATTCTCCCGAAAGATTAATTTTCACACAGCTAGGATGGGGTGCAGGTCCCAGGTCACAGTCTTCCCGAGTGGTCTGGATACCATTCATCGTACACAAGTGTGTGGTGCAGGAGTCAGTCTTCCATACATCAAACAACGGATGGTATGTACCAGTATGGTCAATACACCCACTGGGTGAATGAAAAAAAAATCAGTGATATTGCATTATGGCAAAATTAGTATTGGTCAAATAAATTTATATAGTACAAGACAAATGCACTTTCAGTACAGAAATCTGTGCCAATAGTCCAAAATGGCTACCCACCTGCAGTTCCATTTTGGGCAACATTCTCCCTTTGGTTTGTATTCCAGACAACCAATATGGGGTGGGCTCATATCGTCACTGTGTATACGTTCGCTAGTTATTCCTCCAGTAGTACAGTGGAACATTAGGCACGGATCAACTGTGCTCCACGTTTCCCCTATTTTGCGCAATGTTCCAAATGTATCCAAACATCCCCTGGAAAAATGAACTTTAAATTTCAGAACGGTTAGTACAAGGGCGAATGGTCCTTCTACCAGGTAGTTTTTACGTATGCTTCAGGTTTTAACATATACGTAGTTTATGATTTAGTTTACCTGCATTTCCACTCGGGACAACACTCTCCCGTAGGAATATCTTTTACACAGCTAGAATGGGGTGCAGGTCCTAGATCACAGTCTTCCCGAGTCGTCTCTATCCCTTTCTTCATACACAGGTGTGTGGTGCAGGGGTCGGTCTTCCATACATCATACAGTGGATGGTATATACCAGTATGGTCAACACTGCCACTGGAAAAGAATAACATCCCAAAGTCCAATCTCATTATGAACTATCAAACATTTTTCAAGTATACATTTTACAATTTTCCCACCTGCAATTCCACTTAGAGCAACATTCTCCCTTTTGAGTGTATTCTTGACAGCCAATATGGGGTGGGCGAGTCTCTTCACATGTATCAGTCTCGCAGATATTCCATCCCGAGCACAAATAAACACTAAACAGGGATCTTCAGTACTCCATTCTTGGCCCAACTCGTGGTAATTTCCTTCTAGATCTTTGCAACCACTGAAACATTAGAATTAAGACTATTAAGGCTTCCACTGACCCATAAAGATTTTTCTGCTAAAGATTAAATTTAAACTTTAATTTAATATATTAGCTTCAACCATGTAGACTTAAAACCATCATCGTTTTCCAATAATGCATGGAGTCGATCCTAATTCTGGAGGAGGAAATGTGGCTATAACAAATAGCTGAATGGGGTGAATGAAAGCAGGTTAGTAATGGCTAGTGCTACTTGTGAGCAGGGCTGTGCCCTTCCGTGGGCTTAGCTAGTGAAGGTCAAAGTCGAAAACTTTGAATTAAAAGGAGGAGTTTGCGAGGATGAAGGAAGAAGATACGAGACAAGGAAAGCCAGTGCCAGACCAAAACACAGCAGAACGGGGGGTTGCGAGGAGAGGAACAACCAAACTGGTGGCGAGAAAAGACGCAAAGGAAACGACAAGGGCCAAGTGTACAAACTTCGTCCTTTGATAGACAAATTGGACGTCAGCATAGTCAGGGCTAACAAGGAAGGTACGAAATCCTTATATGCTGGCGATTCCCAGGTCCGGTACATGGATAGAGCTTTGTTGTAAAAATAATACCATGAGAGTGCATTTGCCAGGAACTGGGGGCGAGAGACCATCCTGTCAATGGGAACAAACCCATGATCTGCCTTACAGCAGGAAGCAAGGATATTGGCCGGTGTAAGAGTGAGGAGCTCCTCGATAAGTTCAAGACGGCCATAGATCATAATTATTAGGGTGAAGGGAGGGAGCCCTATCATGTGGTGTCCTGCCTAGGAGGAGAGTTGCAATGAATGGTTGTCAAGGGCAGATGGTGTCAACGGCCGTCTTGACAGATATTGCCTGTCAATAACAGTCCCCTTCTTTGATAACTGACCACTTTCATAGCAGAAGGGACCTTTATGCTAGGGATGGGGTACATCTGTCTGAAGACGAGGTGGCAACCCTGGCAGTACGAGATGTTAAGTCTTTAAACCGCTAGAGAACTTATGACCACGGGAATCTAGGAGACTGCAGTTGGAGCGCGTAAACAAAATTAAAAGTTTGAGAAATAGTGCTAGGAATGGTGACAGAACTAAATTAGATTGAGCTAAACCTAAGCGAGACGAAGAGGCTTAAAATCACGAGAAACGAAATTTATGAAATCGGGGCGTTTGCATGTACGGAAAAAGTAGATACAGTACAATCGCATTCACCGAAACATCGATAAACTTACTCACGCGAGTTAACTGTCCAATACCAAATTGCAGGTTACAAATTATTCCATACCGATAGACAGATTATGAAAGGAGGCCATGTCAGGGATAATCTGAAGTGTGAAATAAATATGGAAATAAAAACAATACACAATTTGGATAGAATTAACAGGTGTAGGTAAAAACAAATCATAGGGGTAAAATGGACCTAATCTTGACAAAAGTTAACTCGAGACTTAATTGGGACGAAATAAGCAGGGCACCCAGACATCGCCAAATATGCCTTGTAGGTGACTTTAACTTAGTCAAATACAACATAAGAATGGAGGAAACTACAGCGGGCCTATTGGCCCATACTGGGCAGTCCCATTTACACCCAACCCCAATTACTCATATATCCGTCCAACCTATGTTTGAAGCCATCCACAGCGTATTCGAGTTAATGATGATAATTGGTAACATGTTCCACTCGTCCACTACTCTATTTCGAAACCAATGTCCCCTTTGTTCAGCCCTGACTTCCATTCATACACCTCTATCATAACGCCCCTCACTCTACGTCTCTCCAGGGCGTGCATATGAAGATGCTTTAACTTGAATCTACTCAAATTTCCTAATGCCTTGGATTAGCATCGTCATTCTCCTCCGAATTCTTTCCAAGGATTCTATATCCATTCTGTAATACGGTGACCAGAATTGAACTGCGTAATCCAAGCGAGGTCTCGCAAGCTCAAGATATAGTTTTAGGATGACCTTGCTAGTCTTGTAACCAACACTTTCTATGAGCACAAGTACTTTATTAGTCTTGTTTCGAGCAAATACACACGGTTTACTTGGTTTAAGATTCCTCCTAAAACTGTCTTGCAGTCGGATTTCTCAACATCGTTGTTGTTCTTCTGGTATCGGGTTTCCCTGTTTATGTCTCCTATACCGAGTGCTTTACATTTGTCCACATTGAATTTCGTCTGCCATTTTTCAGACCGTCCGAATTTTTTTTTCGACCTTCCTGTAGTTTTGCAGAGTCCTCGTCAGATTTAATAACACACCCTATTTTTGTGCCATTAGCAAATTTATTGGTGTTGATCTCTTCGCCGATATCTATGTCGCTTATGTATATAATGAATAATAATGGTCCAAGTACCGAACCTTGGGGAACTCCACTAGTGACGTTTCTCCAATCGGATTTAGTGTTGTTAATGCACACTCGCGGTTTCCTGTCCTGTAACCATGACCTAATCCATTTTAGATCATCTCTCTTAATGCCATGAGCATCCACTTTTCTTATTAGTCGTTCGTTGGGGATGTCGAAGGCTTTGCTAAAGTCGAGATATACCACAACATAATTATGCCTCTCGTCCACCGATTCGATAACTATGAAAGGAATGTGAATAGATTAGTCAAGACATGAACGCTCACTTGTGAAGCCATGTTGAGCATCATTGATCAACTTGTTCCTCTCCAGGAGATTCCGAATCGAGTTTGAAATGATTAATTCCAGTAATTTGCCTACAACTGACGTTAGGACTGATTGGACGGAAACGAGGATAGTGATCGATCCCCTTGAAATTCAGCTTTATATTCGTTATCCTCCAGGATTCTGGTACTACACCCGTTTTTAAGGACATGTAAAACAACTTTGCTCAGGGCATACTTAGCTCTTCCTTACATTCCTTTAATACTCTGGCAAATATCACCCCGGGACCTGGTAACTTGTCAGGCTTTAGTTTGTCTATTTGCTTACTCACATCGTTACTAGTAACTACCATCTCGATTAATTTATTTTCTTCCCTATCTCTGTGTAGCGTCGATGCCTCAGGTATCATGTTTAAATTTTCAGTGGCGAAAACAGTTTAAATATATTTATTCAAATTATTGCTCACTTCTCCGTCGTTATCAGCTAGCTCTCAGGTACCAGACCGTATTGGTCCAATCTATTCTCCTGTTTTAGTTTGATACATTTGACAGAAACCCTTGGGTTTGACTTCGCCTCCCTTGCTACCTTACTTGTAACTGAATCGGAATTTTCTTTGAACAGTTCAGTACGGATTCCCATGTCAACATATAG